CATCATATTTTCCTCACCTTTATATCTCTTTCACTTTGTTTATACTCTCATTCTCTGTTACTTATTAAAGTAAGACATAATATATATTATGAATAATTAATTGAAGTATTTCCATGACTGTATGAGTAATCATAGCTGAACGTATTTTAAATGTAGAAAAATTATTGAAACGAAAAATTATTATCTTTTTTTATTTTATATTTCCTGAAGTACGATTTGTAATTCTTCACGTTTATGTTTTTTTCTCTTTTACAATATATACAATTAATTCTCAATGTTCTCGTACGATCTAATGGCATGTAATGTTCGTAACATTTACGATGCAATAAAATATCTCTATCCAGTTATAAATGTTCCGGTAATTTATCCCAAATGCCCAAATGATTGGCTATAAAATTGTATTTTTAGGATTCTTTTTTTTACATTATATGTAATTTTTATTAGTCTGAAATGTTCAGCAAGAATGATGAAACATCATTTCGTCCCTCTTCCTGAAGATATTTCTTGGAAAATCGGGCAAGAATTTACATAATCTCAGGGCTGATTCACAGCCTTGGCATGTTCTGAAAATTTTCAGCAAGGGATGATGAAACATCATGCATTAAATTTTTCTTGGAAAATCAAGCAAAAAAAATAACATAACCTCAGGGCTGATTCACAGCCTTGACATGTTCTGAACGTTTTCAGCGGGAGATAATGATAAAACATCATACAAACATTTTTTCATATGCATGTTTTAATATATAATTGCATCAAAATTGAAACATTCAGGAATCTTTGTTTGGAGGGGATGAATTGTATTTATACCCATGCAAGTCATGTTTGACACATACTTACCAGCCAAGAAGATGGATACATTAAAACCCTCTTAAACGTACAAAATTACTGGTCTACAAGAACTTGAAACTGTGTAAAACAAAAGTTGCGGCAACAGTTAAAAATAGCAATATGATGAACGGTGAAAATCTTGGAAAATCATAAAGAATTTGAAAAATTAGTTGAGTTAGCCACTAAAAACACATTGTCATTGTTGTACCATGGTGGAGCTAATAATTCGTTTTAATTCACAGTTGATGAAATGTAAATCTTACAATAATCAATGTAATCAAAAAATTCACAACAAATAAGAAAAATTTAAAATTATTGTTCATTTAATTTAAATATTTCCCCTCTTACATTTAGAGAAAAAAAATTATTTAATATAAGTTAAATTTGGTATTTGATCATAGAAAATAACACAAAATTGATATTCTCGAACTTTCAAGAAATTCTTGTTGAATTATAACAATCATTACGAGGTCATCTAAATCCTATATAAATCTTATTGAGCACGCTTTTTTATCATTGTAATCCTAAAGTTTGTCTAGTACAGTCCAAAAAAATGAGTGCACTGAACTATTATTCTGATTTAATTAAAATAATGGAGGAGGCTGATTTATTTGTGTTATTTACAATTTAAATAGCACTACGTAATTATAATAGAAATAAAATGAATAACTTGAAAAAAAAATTTATTTCGAATATAGTTTAATTTATTGTTAAAAATGATTTTATACTTAATTTTTAAATTAAATAAATTTTACTCTCAAATAGTTTTTTCATTCACCATTCAAATAGCCGTTTGTGATTATAATAACAATAAATATATAATATTCTATTAATTTTATTATATTAATTAATTAATTAATTTATTCATTTATTATTATTTGGCTTGGAATATTTTAATTTCAATTCAATTGAAATAAAACTCAATACATTTAAAACTTGAGAATGTATTGAAAAGGAAAACACTGACCTTGTTCGTCAGATATTTCCGGAGAAGCCCAAAATCAGTCAATAAGGCTCTCTTTTTCTAACTCATTGACTCCATGTATCTTCTCTTCTTGTTTCCTCAAAGGGCGAAGTTCAACATGCGTGCGTTTCGGCCCGAAAACATGCAATGAGAGTGACAAGCGCGAACGTATCGCTCTGTCTCTCTCACAGCAGTATCGTACGCCAAGGGTGTTCAATATTTTCACCGGTTTTAATTTTACCAACCTTTAGAGGTTGATAACTTTTTACCTGTTACAGGTAAAGTTGCGAAGATGCGGACTTTTTCATGTAAAAACGTAGCCGCTACAACATTTATTTAAAACATTTTTTCATATTTATTATAGTTCTCGAAAAAATGAGAACAAACGTGAAAAAATGCATAAAAAAGACTTTAAAGGGCGATTTCAACCCTTGCCCGGTGTCGGAGCTCACTTTTTTTTAGGGGAAACTAATTCTACATCCCCTACAAATATTTTATTAAAATTTTATCCATTTCGAGATTTTCCGATTTAAAATTTAATATGACTGAACTAAAGTGACTTTGTCTATGCTTGTAAATTCAGTAATCAAACAAATGACAAAACAGTTGTAGGAATTAAGTACTATAATGTTAAAAATGAAACAATTCTGCCGTAAACAGACATAGAAAAACATTTCCCGAAAAATGTTGTTGACAAACTACTTACAAAAGTCGAGGATTTTCAAGAACGAAATTTTGGTTGGTCAATTAGAGAAATTGAATATCTGTAAGTCAGTATCAATCGTTATTAATCTTTATCAGCTGGGCAATCTGCATTTCTACCTCGACTAAAATTTATACAACAAAAAAAGCAGTAATAAATATTAAATATCAGTGCTCTGCAGTGGTCTGAGTGCGACCCGAACTTCCCAGTGGAAAAAAATAAAAAAACAATTCGAACACTGTAAAAAATGAAATTCTGGCTTCAAACTCATTAGGAGTTTGACAATTTTTTTTTTGAGTAAAATCAATTTTATTTGAAGCAAAAAAAAACAGTTTGTGTCCAGAAAACCCTTTTTTTTGAATGAAAATCTCTACTCGATAATAAAAAACTACTTAGATATTTATCTGAAAGTTTTTAAGTTTAAGCGTAATGAAAACAATATTTGATAAAATGTAAAAGTATATTTGAAGTAAATTTTGTATGCACGTGGCTTAAAAGTACAAATTGTTTGAATCAAACGTTTTATTTTAAAGAGGTTTCATTGAAACTTCTGGTATGTTTGATTTAATATATTTCCATGAAACAAAAAAAGTTTTTTGTCAACCGACGACAGTTTCTTGAGACGAGAATCTGGTTTGGTTGTAGCAATAGTTTCATCCAATCACGGAAAAATCCAAAAATACTTGACAAGAATTTAAATGTAATTGTTATAATATCAAGCCATACTTCTATGAAAGATTTTGTATTATTGATTTAATTGAAAAAGTTTTTATAAGGAAAATTTCATTTTTACGGCATTTGAATCAAAATAATACCATTCACAATTATTTGAACCTAATTTTTGCTCTATTTCACTTAATGTGATAGACAATTTTAATATAATAAGTTATCATTTTTTCAAACATATAATTTTTAATTCATTTCTTAAAAAATTCACATTAATATTTATTATAGTAAATATTAATTGAAGATTATATATTTATTTTTTAATAAACAAACATTGAACTATTATATAGTGTGTGACTGCAAGACGTTGTTCAAATTCTTAACTTAATTTAAACAAGAATAAAAATATTTATTTTGGAAATTTCCTAAACAAATTTCGAAAGAGTAATAAAAAATAAGTGTATTTCTCTAAAGAGAAACGATTCATTGAAATCCTTCATAGTATATGAAAGCAGCACTTTATGTTTACTTAAGTATGGTTTGTAAAAATAAATTCTAGTAAATAATTTTATTTAAAATTCTTATGAAAATTGTATCTAAAATAATGATCAATAACGGTTAGTTTAAATATCATACACCTATACATGCAGCTATCGCCATATAAGAAATAAGTAAGTTGTACATGTATAGTTGTATGGGTGTACATGAGTGAGCTAAATATTTTTTATTGCCGCGTTGTGTTTTGTTTAGGTAAAGTGCCGGTATGATAAACTTATAGGACGCTAGAGATGCGTTAGTCATTTTCGTTGGTAATTTGGTCAGATATAGTTCAGTTGTTTCATCATACACTAGTGATTTGTGGTGCTAAAAAAGGTACGTTTATTCTTATTAAATTCTTAAATGTATAAATGATTCTGTATGTTTTTTTAAACATTTGAAAGTGGTGGAAATTTTGAAAAAGAAATATTTTGGTTGGTTATAGTGAAAAGTATTTTATTATACGAAAAGAATTTGAAAAAATAAGTGTTCTACATGGCGGATGAGGAAACAAAGAAGTGTTTGAATGATTGGGGATTCAGTGATTTAGTGGATCTATTTTCAGGTTCATTATTAATATATTTAACTATTTCATCTGTCTTGAATTTATCGATATTCTGTACATAAAGTATCATTGAATTTTCAATTATTACTTCTGATTATATAACAAAACTGTCATTTTCTTTTTTTTATATTTTATGCGATCTTCTTTTACATTTCCAATCGGCAGAACAAGAAATCACTTATGACTGCTTAAAATCGCTATCCACGGATTTAATCAAGGAATTGGTTCCTGTTGTTGGCAAAAGAATAAAATTTATTGAACAATGGAAAATAGCATTTGGAACTACGCAACGCGTCATTCAGTCTGAAAACGTCATTGTAAGTCACTCAGTTTCGGATACTCATCGTAATATTATAATTAAATAATTCATATTTAATAAAATATATACTTTTATTATTAATAAAAGGATGACTCAACACCATTGAGTGAATCTACCGAAACAGCTCTATGTTACACAAACCGACCTAAAAACAACTTTGTAAGTTATTTATCAATTTACATCTTAAATTTACGTTGTAAATATGTATATAATTTTTATATAATATTAAATTTTGAAGAAAAAAAGAACATATACGGGAGAAAGCGAGTATAGAAAGCGTTTGAAAAATTAGAAGGAGATTATTTAGATGATTTGTTAAGTAAAAGAAGTAACTTAGCAGATCCTTTGTTAGCTGATTATAAGAGAAACAATAGACTGTCCGACGTATCATCTTTTTTGCTGTGCGATTGTATTGCTGATGATTTAGTCGTTGATAAATATAGGTAAGAATTGTTTTTTATATATTTTAAGACTATTATATGTGTCTTCTTTTTGATTAATTCAATTTATCAATTACAAAAATTTATTGTACAAATTAACTAATATTTGAATAAAGTACAAATAATTTCTATTTTCAGTAAGTTTGTGACGCAAGATTATATCGATTTAACAAACCAAATTAAAAAATGGTTCCCAACTGAGGATTCAACGACGTATTTTCGACCAGGAATTCCTAAAAGTCTTTCCAAAAACAAAAAATCTAAGAAACCTGGTGGCAGATTGTATGATAAAATTAAAAATCGCAAATCTTTATTTGCCCAATTAACAGGTACAGTTAGACGCAAAGACCAATCAGAAAATACAGATGAAGATGAAATTGAACCACTAGGTAAACTTTTTTTACTAACATGTTTCACACGCACATATGTATGTATATATATGTATATACATACTAAATGTTAGATGGAATAAAACATTACTATTGTTTCAGCTGAAGACGTAGCTGAAAGTTTGGTATGGTTAGATCATAATCGTGATTTTACACTAATTGATCATCATTGGAAGATAACAGCTAAAGCTCGTAATGATATATTAATGAAATCAAATGGAAATGTCTTCGACTATCTAAAAAAGTATCCAGTGCTAAAAGATCCAAATCATGGTTTTCGTTTAGTAAATATTGATTTTTGTGAGCTGTATACAACCTCTGAATCAAAATTCTATGAGCATTGGGAATGTTTCGTCACAAAAGTGTTTGATCAAACTATTAGAAAGAAAAAAAGTTATACAGACGACGTTCAAGAGCTGTTAAATATAATTGATGATGAAAATACTAATTTGTGTAAGTGAAAATAACTATTTTATTATCTTCCCTTATGTCTACGATGATTTATTGAAATGTTACATAACAGATGCCAAACGTTTTGCTGAAATATTATTATTACCTTTTGCCGTTCCTCCACGAGCTGGTGTATCTAAAGTTGATAAAGAGTATTGGAAACCAACAATATTAGAGAGCCAACAAGGATTTGCAGTGCATGCTAAAGTAAGTTTAACAATATATATTAAAAATTATCAAGGAATTCAATATTCAAGTAGTATTCTATGAATATTGTTATTTTACAGTCTTACAGAATTTTTAAGTACATTGAAAATTATTTTTTTTTCCATTCATATGGAGTTACAATGTTGTATTTAAAATGTTTAAAAATATTATATTTTTAAATATTGAATGATATTTCGTACAATTCAATATATAACAATTAGACTTTTAATTATCCAAGTTACTTGTCTTATACACATTGTAAATAATATTTTTATTCAAAAATGAAGGACGTTGGAGATATTGAAAAAATTCATGAAGATAAAGTAACACAGATGCGCAAAAAAAAAACAACTGTCCAGCCATATATACTCGGAATAGGAAATACTTTAAAAGATGTGAATAGTTTCATGGTGATACTTGATAAACCTCTTTATCGTTTTGATTCACCTTTAACAGCACTTTTAATTTGTTTCAAAATATTTTATGTCTGGAATGTTGGATTTCCGTTACAAAGCAAACAAATTTGGACGTTGTTACAGCACGGTATTTTGAAATTTACAACTGATACTGATGAAAATATAACTCATGTCAGTAAGCTTCTTGAGCTTATTAAAAATTAATTTAATTACTTCTCGTTGTATTAGAATGAAAAATTGAGTTTAGAAATGGGTATTATATGTCCATATTGCGATTGTCATTTTAAAATAATGAATGACCTATTTGTTCACTGTAAATTAAAACACAGTTTATATTTTAATCGATCGGTTAAATGTAAACAACCATTCTGTTTACGATTACATTGTGATTATTATTCTTTAAAGAAACATATTCGTTTAAAACATAAAATTCCTGTAGAGGATAATAATAATGATAATTTTAGTAATTTTAAAGATTCAGTAGCTTGTGGCAATGATAATAATATATATACTATACCATTATCTCCAATAATACAACCTTCATCAAATTCTACTACTCAAAATATATGTCAGAAGATCACACTTAATGATGTAAAAATTCAGTTCATAGTGCAGCGATTAGTTTTCTTTCTAAATTACATGCGAATCCCAATATATCAAGATCTGCAATACAAGGTATAGTTAATAACACATCCGAATTATTTGAATCGTGTGGTGTTCATTTAGTTAGAGAAGTCCTCCAAAATAAAAACGTTTATGATTCTGAAGTAGATGAAATCCTTGCTATTATGACTAATCCTTGGAAAAATTTATAAACTGAACATCAAAGAAAGGAATTTTTTTCAAGTACTGGATGTTTCATTAAACCACAACGTTTTACAATCGATACTGTTCTTAGGCAAAAAATTCAAGGAGAAAAAAATATTCATGTTTTAAGTAATGCTACGGGAGAATTTATTTCAATGCGTCAAGTATTAAAAAAATTTCTGGAGCTGCCAAATGTTTACAAATTTATTGATGAATATATGTGTAAAAAAGAAAGCGAGAGTTTGGGTGAACTTGATAGTTTTTTAAAAGGTACCCTTTGGCGGGAACTGAAATTGAAATTTGTAAATAAAAAGGTCTTCCCTTTAACTATTTACTTCGACGAACTAGAAATTAACAACCCTTTAGGTTCTCATATTTCAGTAGATAAAATTGGTGTAATCTACTATAAAATAACTTCTTTACCCCCAGAATATTCATCAAAAATTGAAAATATATTTTTAGCTCTGATACATCGAACTATGCATCGAGAAGATTCATTTGGAAATTCGAACATTAATGAAATATTTAAAAATTTAATTAACGAACTGAAATATTTAGAAAGTGAGGGCCTTGAAATTCTAACGGAAAATGGTACAGTTCAAGTTTATTTTACATTAGCTATTGTTTGTGGCGATAATTTGGGGATTCACTATTTACTAGGTTTCAATGAAAGTTTTAACTCTACTTATTATTGCAGATTTTGTCGAGAACCAAAGAATATTATGCAAAAACAAACAGTAGAAAATACGAAAATTCTTCGAACAGTAAAAAACTATAATGATGATTTAAGAGATCTAACGTGTGGTATTAAAAAATCATGCTTATTTCATGACCTACCAAATTTCCATTTAACTAAAAATCTGTATGCTGATATTATGCATGACTTTTTAGAAGGTGTATTGAGATACGAAATTCCTACAATTATCAATAGTTTAATTAGTGAAAAAAATGTATCATTATCATTATCATACTTGAATAATCGGATGCAAAATTTTAATTACGGACGGAATGTTTCAAATAAAAACATTCCACTATTCACAGAAAATAATTTAAAGAATGGTCTTTACATTTGCAGTGCTTCTGAAATGTTAACATTATTGAATTTACTCAGTTTCATGATTGGTCATCTTATTCCTTGTGAAAATGAACCATGGCAGTTATTTTAAAACTTAAACAAATTGCTAGTATTTTGTTGAGTAACTCTATTGATGGTTGTATTATTGAAACATTAAATCAACTCATTACCGATCATCATGAATTATTTTTAAAATTATATAAAGACACATTACTAAAACCTAAATTACATTTTATGCTTCATTATGCTCGTATTCTTCACTTACTAGGTCCTTTATTACCATTATCTTGCATGCGATTTGAAGCAAATCATGGTGATTTTCATCATCACGCTCAAGTTATTAAAAATAGAAAAAATATCTGTTATAGTCTCGCACTTATGAATCAGTTTATTTTAAATGAAAGATTTCTTTCTCAAAAAGGTTTTGAAAAATGTGTTATTTCTATCGGTCCATCAATCGAAACTAAAATAACAGATTTAAATGAACATTATTTGGTTAATGATACAAACACCAATTTTGATTTAAGTGGTACGTTTGTTATTACTTCTTGGGCTATGGTCAATAGTATTAAGTATATGAAAAATATGATCTTAAAAACTAATAAAGTAAATAAATTTGGTAAAATTAAGTATATTTTAGTAGATGAAGATAATGTAACGTTCCTAATTTCATTGTTAGATGTTAGTTTTGAGAAACATTATCATGCTAACAGAATTATTACCACAGAAATGTGGAGTTTTTTGAGCCACCGGGATTTAATTGATCCAATCCCGAGGGATGAATATGCAATCGCAAATGGACAAAATTATATCATTTGTTGAGTTAAAAATTTTTGTAAGTTTATATGTATTCTTTAGATATAAGATTAAAAAAGTTTTTGTTAATTGTAGTTGTAACAATTAAACCAAACTGATTAAATATAAAGTAGATGAACAGATAATACATTTATGAATTTTTTCATTTATACTTCATATAATCAACCTTCAATAAATTTTCAATAAAATAATATAAGCTTCTTCCAACCGAATGAAATTTTCTGAATTAAGTATAATTTCATATTTTAACAAAATTATAAATAAATTGAACTTAATAGTCCTCACACTTATATTAAATAGTAATTGTATTGTACTAAATCTGAGGTTGATTAGAGTACAATTTTAAAACATTTTTACAAAACTATTATTTTACTTTTATAGAATTACATCTTCGATTAAATTAAACTATTTTTGCTGTTGATATAACATAAAAAACAGTTCTATGAACATAAAAATAGTTTTCATGAATTGATCTGAGATGTACTGTAAAAGTAATCATCATTCTAGTCAACTGATTGTTCGTTTTATTCCAATTGTATATAATATTTTATCTAGCTCACTATTTTTTTTGCATGAATACTTAAAAACAACCTGAGATAAATCGATTTTTGTTTTATAATAATTGCGAAGATGGTTTCTGTTAATTAAGTAAATATTTCTTTCAACATTAAAATTACTTCATTTAATAAAATTTTCAGTCCACTGAAAATACATACTTTTAATCACCTAAAAATTCAATTTAAGTGAAACTTAAGTGAAGTTATAAAGAATAATACCTATTATTATCTCAAAAGCATTAATGGCTTCAAACTAATTTTTATTTTTGTTACATTAAATTATCTTTTCGATTGTGTCAAGAACTATAGACTTGGCTCTAACTAATCAGTCTCTTCACTCAAGAAACTTTCATTTGGAATAAACAAAATTGTCAAACGTACAGCGCAGTAGACTCAAGTAGTTCGCGCATTTGGCTGTATTCAAACGTACGGAGTACTTGAGCCAAACGAATCTGGTTTGTCATCAGGAATTATTTTTACAGTGAATAGAACCCGTTTCCATTTTTTATAACAAATGGAATTGTGATAAACGAAATAAGTCTGTTTTTATTCATTTGATATGGTTAGTTACTTTATTTCAATAAAGAAAAAATTGTGCGTTAAAAGTACTCATATATATAGAAACGGTCCCTATTTTTATTGTTTATAACAATTTAAAACTTATTATTTAAATATACTATAATCAATAATCACTTGTTAGTAACAATGTTCAATTGTTATGAACACAATTCCATATTATTGACAATTATTATTGACTATTATAGCGTCTTTAATGCTGTTTTCTCAATCCTGACACGAGTTTGAAATTCTTTCATTGCTGATATTGTTTTTTAAATTTTTTTTTCGATGAAATATTGTCATCATATATCCGTACAAGTATTTCAATCATTTAATATTCATATTTCTGCAATGATCTTGAAATTTTGTCCAAAAAATGGTATAATCTATGAATTGCAAAATTCAAGTAATTTCCTTTTTTTCCAGTTTTTTGATTCTGCCAAAATAATTGGCTTTACCGGTTTTCCTGAAAACTTTTTCAGTTCTAAGTTACGTAATTTCGCGTCGAATGCAATTGGTCCCAGATCGATATCATTTTTTGTTCTCGAGATAATCGAGGCGAAAAATAATTCCGAACGTACGTACGCACATACGCACATACGTACATACGCACATACGTATATACACACACACAGACGTCCACGTAAAAACTGACGATTCATTCTGGAATAGGATTTCGAATTTATTTACAATTAACTTTTTTTAAGCAAAAGAAAAAATTACGCGTTGGAAGAATTCAAATATATTGCATAGATCTCTATTTTCATTGTTTATAACAGATGTAATTGTTTTAATCAAAATAAATGAGTTTTCATTCATGTCGTACGGTTCGTAACTTTTTTTTAGCAGAAGAAAAAATGTGGTGTAGCCTATTATATGTACTGTACGTATGACAATCCAAAATGTCAATTTAATCTTATACGTGATGTTAATTGCATAAACTGGTCCATAACTAAATTAAAAAAAATAGCTGAAACTGTTAAATTTACCTAGAAAATGTAGTACCAATGAAACCATTAACATCCCAATAACTGAACGATTTTCGCAATGCAAAAATCAGTTACATTTGTAATAAACCATTTTTACATGATAAAACGAAGGTACATGATCACTGTCACCTTACAGGTAATTATCGATGTGCTGCTCACGTTAATTGTAATTTAAATTATCAAAATTCATGCATAATTCCAGTCATTTTTCATAACCTCTCAGGATATGACTTACATTTTATTGTTAAATCATTGGCGACATCATTTAAAGATTATATGGAATTATTACCTGTCAATAAAGAAAAATACATAGCAGTTACAAAAACAGTTAATCAGAAAATTCCTGCGGAAAAAGGAAAAAAGAAATAGTTGTTAAATTACGATTTATTGATTCTTTCCGATCCATGAGCAATAGCATTGAGAAACTTGCATCATTTTTGGATGTTAACGCAAAATCAATTACCCAAAGTTTCTATTCCGAGCCAGATAAATTTTAATTAGTAACTCGTAACGGTGTTTTCCCATATGGATCTATTGACAGTTAAGAAAAACTTGACGAACGACAACTACCTGACAAATCGAAATTCTATTCGAAACTCAACGATTCGGACACTCCCGATGACGATTACCAACATGCACACCACGTTTGGGATCAATTTCAACTAAACACCTTTGGTGAATATTCAGATTTATATTTAAAAACAGACGTTCCTCTGTCAGCAGACATTCTTCAAAATTTGTATCTCTACTTATAAGCTTGATCCGTTACATTACTACACTGCACCTGGATTAACTTTTAATGCTATGTTTAAATATACAGAAATTGAACTTGAACTCTTGGACAATGTAGAAATTCTTCATTTCATAGAAAAAGGTATTAGAGGAGGAGTGGCACATCGTTCAAATAGATATGCGAAAACGAACAACCCGTATATGTATAATAATTATAACCCCAATGACAATGTATCATATCTCATGTATTTCGATGTAAATAATTTGTATGGCGCAACAATGAGTGAGTATCCACCGACTGGATCATTTGAATGGGTGGAAGATGACATCAATATTTCTAATATCTATGTAATAATTAAAAATATCTCCAAGGATTCTTCGATTGGTTACATTTTTGAGGTTGATTAAGAGTATCCAGAAATCTTACACGAGCATCATAAAGACTCGCCATTGTGTCCTGAACAACACAAACCTCCAAACAGCAATAGTAGTCCAATGAAGGAATGGCCGAAACCACCATATTGCGGAAAAAGAATGAAACCAACGCGAAAATGTGCGTAAAGGTTGTAGGAATATTATTGTAAAAAGTCAGCATCCTAAACGTAAAGGAACCCTTGCAAAAAAATGCGAAAGCGTGCAAAAATGACTTTTTCGGTAATATCTCGAGAACGGCTGGAGATATGAAGAAAATTTTTAAGTAAACGTTGTAGAGAATTAAATTCTCTACAAAAAAGTATTTATACATTTTTTACGTACCTCTTACCGCTTATAAAATATATGCCATGAAAGGGACCGTGGAACGTCGAATTTTTCAAAAAATTATTGTATATTTAAAAAATATTTTTTTTAAAAAAGATCAAATCAGAGGGCTTCTTTATTACTCTGACAATATCTTTGAAGGTAATGAGCTTTTCATTAATCAATATTAATTTGAAAATTTTAAATTAATTTTTTTTATACTTAATCGAATTGAATTTTTTTTTCTATACCATTCGATTCAGCGTAAAATTTACGATAGAGTATGCTCTCTTACTTGGATTTTTATTTTAATCCACGTGAGAATGATGAAAAAAATTAATTGGGGGACTTTTCATTTCTTACGTTACTGCCGCTGAGAGAGAACGACATATCTCTCCTTTCATTCGCACTCATTACATTTTTCTGCACCTGCGCGGCGCATAAAAAGTGTAAGTGCAAAAAAGTAATAATTTTTATATATACAGATCGATAGAGGATTCAATTCTCTATCGAATGAGATCAACTTTTTTTTTATTTATATGTTGCAGAATACAAAAATTTATCAACATTTGCAACATTTCGCAATGTTAATGTAATTTAACATCGTTTCATACTTGTGTGCAAATTTTCAAACCTTCCTGATAACCGGAAGTTGACAATCAAATTAATTAAAAAAAAATTATGTAAGAAAAATATCTTCTTCTTCAACAGTTAAAAAATATTATCGTCAATAAAATTATTATTTTTTAAACCCAATTTTCCATAGTTTAATTATTTTAAAAACTTAGAAAAATTTTTAAAGATTTTCAACTTGAGTCAAAAAGCATTTTCGACTTAACACCAAGAATGTCCATAGCTGCTGACTATTCATATATAATAATAGCAGTAATAAAATTTTATATGTTTACAGTAGGATTCAATGGGCCCTTTTCTATCTTTTGCACTTTCACTAGAGGAGTATGCGATCTCACTCGCACTTATATTTTGTAGTGTACTCCGCAGGTGTATAAAAGTATAGTGAGTGTGAGTGAAACGGAAGAAACTGCCGTTCTCTCTTGCACTTACACTTTTTTATGCGCCGCGCAGGTGCAGAAAAATGTAATGAGTGCGAATGAAAGGAGAGATATGTCGTTCTCTCTCAGCGGCAGTAACGTAAGAAATGAAAAGTCCCCCCAATTAATTTTTTTCATCATTCTCACGTGGATTAAAATAAAAATCCAAGTAAGAGAGCATACTCTATCGTAAATTTTACGCTGAATCGAATGGTATAGAAAAAAAAATTCAATTCGATTAAGTATAAAAAAAATTAATTTAAAATTTTCAAATTAATATTGATTAATGAAAACGCTCATTAACCTTCAAAGATATTGTCAGAGTAATAAAGAAGCCCTCTGATTTGATCTTTTTTAAAAAAAATATTTTTTAAATATACAATAATTTTTTGAAAAATTCGACGTTCCACGGTCCCTTTGATAGCATATAATTTATAAGCGGTAAGAGATACGTAAAAAATGTATAAATACTTTTTTGTAGAGAATTTAATTCTCTACAACGTTTACTTAAAAATTTTCTTCATATCTCCAGCCGTTCTCGAGATATTACCGAAAAAGTCATTTTTGCACGCTTTCGCATTTTTTTGCAAGGGTTCCTTTACGTTTAGGATGCTGACTTTTTACAATAATATTCCTACAACCTTCACGCACATTTCGCGTTGGTTTTATTCTTTTTCCGCAATATGGTGGTTTCGGCCATCCCTTCATTGGACTATAGTAGCAAACTTATGACGACATTATTACCTGAACTTAAATATGTAATTCACTAGAGAAATTCAAAACAATGTCTCGATTTAGGAATGATTGTAACCAAAATCCATAGAATCCTTAAATTTAATCAATCCTCATGGATGCAGAAGTATGTAGATCTAAATACAGATTTACGAAAAAAATTCGAAAAATGATTTTAAAAAAGATTTCTATGAATTAATGAATAATGCAGTTTACGGAAAAACAATGAAAACGTTCGAAAGCATAAAGATTTGAAGTATGTTACACAGTCGGAAGGTCGGTATGGTGCGAAAAATCTCATCGCTTCTCCAAAATTCCACAATAGTATAATTTTTGACGATGACTCGGTAATAATAGGAATGGAGCAAAAAAATATATTTTTTAATGTGCTGATATACGTAGGATTTAAAGTTTAAGATCTTTCAAAAATGTGTATTATGATTTATATATTTTGAGATCCGAAAATTGTTAATTTAGTTAATTTTATGTGATTATTTACATTGAAGCTAGAAACGCAGCTGATAAAATACTTGCTGACAATCTTTAAAACGAGTTTTCGCAAGAGACGCAGATATTGCTGAACAAATTGCTACTTTAGGAATTTCCTACGTCATAAAAGTTAAATCAAAATATGGATTGGGTTCGGACGAGAAGAACAAAAAGGACAAGGAAGTTAAACATTTGCAAGAAATTATTAATTCAGCAAAGCTTATGTTTAATTTCAGTTTAGACCCTATCAAATCTTCATTAGCTGCTGCATGAAAGACTGTTCGCGATGCTGGTGGAAAGAAAAAGATCAAATTCCCACGTATTATACCAATGCCGCAAAAAGTGGGAGGTATTTTACCTCTTATACCTCGATTCGCAGGTTAAGTGCAAAAGCAATTAATGATGCCAAAGACGGCAAACGTCAATTGCAAGGAGCTAAACGATATAACGAGAAAATGGAAGCAATAGCTTTAGGTAAAGGTTTACGTCTAAAACCGTACAAGAGAGGATTAGGATTGTATTTAAAACCAGCAAAAAAGAAACCCTTAAATTTACCTCGTCGTGCACTGACTGATATTGAACTTTAAAAATATGCAAAAATCATGAAAATACCCCTTTTTCGTGGTGTTTTTATGCGAAATGATCTTCCAAAATCTACACCGTTGAAAAATGAATGAGCAATTATTGATCTCGACGATAAAACTAGACCTGGAACTTATTGGGTAGCATATGAAAACGTGGTAATAAAGTGATATATTATGACAGTTTGCAGCCACCACATGAGCTTACGGAATATCTTAACGTTAATAATATACTGTACAATCATGATAAACATCAAGATTACAGTACAGATACTTGCGGACACCTGTGTTTAAAATTTTTACGTAAAAAGTATAAAAGTAATATGAACTTTTCAATAAGTATCAGTCATGGATGATTCACTCACGTTAACATTGTCTGGACAAACGTCCATTCTAGAAGCGTTTTATTTTCCATCAATTGAATTATCATCATCTAAAAAATATACCCTAGGACTTGTGGAATTGTTAAACTTCAATTCCATTTCAAATATTGATAACGGTAACAATAAATTTTATTATACACTTAATAGTGAAGATAAGAGTATTAAAATACTCACAGGAAGCTATGAAATTGAAGACATGAAAATTATTTAACCCCTGACAAGCACACAAGGTACAAAGTACCCACCCCCAAAATTTATTTCGTTATAATTCTCTGTATGTATCAACAAAGGGCTTTCCCCTCCAGAGATATTTCGTTGAGACCTTGAGGAAGCGTGTTCAGTAGGCGTTAATGCGATTCAGTTGTTAAGACGCAGTGAGCGCGGAACGTTGTGGGTACTTTTAACCCAGTGTGCCAGTTAAGTGTAGTCAAGTGTTCAAGAGTTTTTTCTCGGATCATATGAGTGTTTTTTTCTTTATTTACGGTAAGTAATAATGTATGATTACATTGTATCACAAAATATTTTTACGCTTATGTAAATTTATGTATTTATATGAATGTATATGTCATATATATTGATGTATATAAAATTTTTTAGAGACATTTTGAACAGTTTTGTAAATTGTAATATTTGTTTTAGATGAATAAACGAAAGAAAAATTCTCTTGTGCTTATTAACGACGAAACATCTGATGACGAGATAACTGATGAAGACCACGGGGAAAGTGAAGGTGAAAATCATAAAATTTTATCTTTGTCAGAAAGTGAGGATGATGACGACCCGGATCACGACATTTACCAGCCATCTACTAGTAATCTACGCCGGACTGAACAAAAGCCGACCGACGGTCGACCAGTTTCGATTCGGAGGGGACAAGGAGACAATAAAATCGAATGGTGTTAAAACCTACCGTACGTCGTCTATCAGAAACTAAGCAAACATTTCACTTACCTGGAGTTATTGGAGAAGCTCGTCAAACTAAAACTCCAATTGATACATGGTCATATCTTTTTTCAGAAGATATTCTCGAGATAATTGTTATTCATACTAATGAAGAAATAGATCGTGTATGTGCTAATATAGAAAAATTTTTGAGTTATTATAATAAAACTGATATTATTGGAATTAAAGCTTTGATTGGCTTACTCTATATATCAGGATACAGAAAGCAATCTACGGTAGATGTGAACGAGTTGTGGGGTGAAGAATTTTCTGTTACAATATTCAAAGCTACTATGTCGGCTCACAGATTTCAGTTTTTATTGAAATGTCTTAGATTTGATAACAAAAATACACGTAAACAACGTCGGAAACTGGATAGGTTTGCTCTGATAAGAGAAATTTGGGATAAATTCATAACAAATTGTGGAAAATATTACAGGCCATATGAAATTTGCACTGTAGACGAACAAATGGTTGGATTTAAAGGTAGATGCATTTTCAGAATGTATTTACCGAGCAAACCTGATCGTTATGGTATCAAATTTTTGATGTTGAATGATTCTAAAACCTCGTACATGATGAAAGCTGTGCTATATCTAAGAAAAACAACGGAGAGATTACGTAATGAACTACTTGCGAATTTTTTTGTAAGAGAATTAGTAGAACCAATTAGGCATTCGAATCGGACAGTTGTGATGGATAATTAATTTACGTCAGTTGGTTTGTTTCAAATACTACTTGATGAATATAATTTAAGAGCAATAGGTACTATCCGTAAAAATAAAAAAGAAATGACACGTAGTTTTACAGAAGAAGCCTCACCATCAACAACCAAATTCTGTTTCGCAAATAAACAAACTCTACTGTCTTATGCTCCAAAACGAAATAAAATAATTTTAATACTTTCAAGCAATAGTACAGATACCGAAATTGATCCAGAAACAAAAAAACCAAAATTAATACTGCAATATAATCAACACAAAGGTGGAACAGACTCATTCGATCAAGCTTTTGAATTATATTCCGTTGCACGTCGGACAGGAGATGGTCATTAAAAGTTTTCTATGTAATGCTAAATACGGCTAATGTTAACGCAACAATTTTATATAATTTAAATCATATAGAAGAAAAAAAAACCCGATTCACTTTCATGAAAGACTTGTCGTTTGAGATAATCAAGCCTTTACTAATTGAACGCTATGGGATTCCACAACACGAAAAAACATTAAAACTGAAATTGCTCAACTTCTTAATTACGGAACACCTGTTGTTAATCATTCTGAAGTCATATCAATACCCGAAACAAGATGTTCATATTGTCATCACTCACTAGGAGTTAAAACAACCATGATGTGTCCGCAGTGTGAAAAATCTATGTGTAAAAGACATCGATGTCCTTTGTGCGTAGAGTGTTGTAACGAAAATTCTATTTGAAATATATATTTTGTGATTATTTGTATTTTTGTGCATGAAAATAAAGATTACAATAAATAATAGATCTCTGAATTCTTTAAAAACTTGCCCAATACCTCTTTTTTATATACGCTACTTTAATGCATTTAAGTAGTAAAATAATTATACTTTTCGAAGCGGATTGAAACATGAATTTTACCATCTTTTAGAGCACTTTTTGAGCTTTCCAAAACACTATATTTTTTAATATTTTGATCTATTAGAATCATAGATACAGCACGAAAACAAAAAAATCTCAAAAAGACACTTTTTTTAGCTTTGGTGGTATTTTTATCTATTTCCATTGACACTAATTAATTAATCATTATATTCATTTTATACGGGATTGTTTGAACTTTAATTCCAAAAAAAAATTCTCGAACTTTATTAGGGACCAAGATATTTGAAAATGAATTGTGTCGGGTACTTTTCACCCTCAATGCCTAAAGAGGTATACCGTTTAGATGTGTGCTTGTCAGGGGTTAAAGAAAGCTGATACTTAATTATTAATTTCTATTAAGCCCAATAATAATGAGCTACACCGTGAAGTTCACAGTGAAAATGCAACAATAAATACCAAACCGCGTGATTCCATTGGTAGTTAAGCTTTAGTCGACAACTTATTTCACTAAAATTAACCCACACATCAGATTAACAAGTATCTATCTTAAAAATTAATGTATTAAGGATCGAATGTAATATTACGACAGGAGCATACATGAATAATTAGTTGGTACATATGATTCATGAATTTTTTCCATCAGTTCCACGAGGATATAAGATCATTAAACGTCATTTATCTTCCAATCACTGTACAAACAATACATAATTTACAACTGCGCATCGTTGATCAAGTCAATTGGTAAACTGACATGGTGAAACTGTTACAATACGTTTACATTTAAAATAAGTTATGTGATGAGGATTGTTTATAAACCAATAGTAGGGGGAAGCTATAAAACTAACATATCATGCCTGAATCCCATCAGTCATCGAAGAAAACTCAAACGATAAATTTATCAAAATCGATCATTTCTACAAAGTCTAGTACTAAAAAAACGCAAAAGTGCAACAAAATGAAAGTGAACGTGTGCTGTCTTGCATGACTTTTACCATGGAAGACGAAAAATTCGATCGTCGTTTACGATTATTTAAATATTGATGATATGATGTTGATGGCTCCCCTCCAGACGGAGAATTTTCACGAGTATCAGCATTAGCTTGTAAAGGATCATTAGAGTCGGGTGAATTTCTTGGCGATGCATGGTTTTCATGCCAGAAAATTGCTGAAAATTTTTATCATTAATTAAAATACGGAATGGATTTAAGTTTTAATCGAGCCGTTTTATATATTATGACGCATTTATATCTCTCATTCAGCATAGAAATGTCTGCTTGAAAACAATTCAGTGTGAATTTTAAGTTAAACTAATTTGACGGATTTTTCAAATTGATCCATGGGCCATCCATAAGCCGTGGATGTTATTTGATATTTTCAAGATAAATTGACTGTTGCTTATAAATTTTGAGGTGAGGAATCCAAATTCATTGGTTATTTTTTTCTAAAGTTACCAATTTTTTTATTATAATCCATTTATTTGTTTGCTTATAGTAAAGATTTAAATTGTCCAGTTAGGTGTATAACCTTTCTCAAAAATCTGCTCATAATTACTTATGCGAACTTTATCAACAACTTTAAATTTATTCCTCTCTCTCACAACTTTGAACTTTTTGTAGACTGTTTCGAGTAATTTTCTTTCATTAGCTAAAGTTACATTGACAGGTTTCATTTGAATTGTACGATGTTTATTATTATTATAAGACGCCAGTGCTGAGGAAGGAACTTGTGTATATTCTCTTTCGACGCTTTTATAACTTCAGCTTGTTTACGATTTGCTCTTTTTAATGCACGTAATCGATCCAACTCATGAAGATCAATTGTTTTATTCAATTCTTCTCTTAAAATTTTTCGATATTCTTGAGATGATTCTATAAGGTGTTTAACTTGAACATTAAGAGTCTTTACTTTTGCTATAATTCTTTCGACTTTCTTCTTGAGATTCGAAACTGATTCTTTTGAAGGACGTAATGATACAATGATACGTCCAATGATACAGCATCATTTAGATTCACTGGCGCCGCAAGGTTCCACAATCTTCTTTTATTTATATCATACTAATTGTCAATTGTTAATTTAAACCCTATGCCAGGTAGACCTTGGATAATATTTTTTTGTGCATCTTTGGTCAATTGACGTCCAAAAATATCAACACTCATCTCCTCTCCTCGAAAGATAATTAATCAATGAGTTTTCTTTGATTAGCATTGATTAATCTATAATTCCAGCTTCACGTAATTCTTCGATGACAGATATTATTTCATTATTATCGCTAAAATTTCCTGCTGCACGCGATAAAACGAGTAGTTGCAATCGATATACAAGTTTATTTGGATCATCCCAATAGATATAATTCAATGGTCGATTGTGATTTGTCATGTATCGAGGTAAACCTTCTCCACGTTTCGATAAATATCTACTGATGATATCACGATACTTTTTTTAATATTTATCTTCTTTAAGACTTCGATCAGGGTAATAATGTTTATAATATGCTTAAGTACTTCTTAAAATTTGCCTATAAGTTTTTTCATCACTCTCTGTTCTGATAGTTCATAAAAATTGAATGGACACGTCCTTACGTCTCGGTCTCAGATATAAACAAAGTAAATTTATTGAATTACATTGCAAAAGATCCGGCAATAACACTGAGTTTTAGATTTTGAGAATTGTATGAATATTCATTGTTTCCAAGAACAACGAAACATGTGTGGGTTGTAAAGACATCAACACAACTTAAAAAAAAAGATATGCAATACTTGCATTCCAAACTGCACGTAATAATGATGATACAAAAGATGTAAGTAAATTTGATCACTGCAATTTGAAAGATGTTAAATTAAGAAACAATTTACAGTCATATCCAAACGGCAACATGAATCTCGACATAACACACAATCAGTATGCACTGTTATACAAATGTATAAAGATTTCCAAGTATCATACATCCGCTTATTGTCTAATTATTCACGATCGTATGATAGAATATAAGCTACTAAGTGGACAAGTATGAAAATTGATGTATTTTAGAGCTTCCTGACCTTAAGGAGAAGCTGTTTCAGAAAATGATTTAGATTAGATAACTTAATCCTAGATTAATCAATGTATGAAAAAAAAATATACAAACAATTACTTAATCACCGTTTAACATTATTCTTTATACTATGCCACAATTAGAATACATGCTTTTGATCCAGGATAAATTTTTTTACATTTAGATGCAACGGGTTCGAGTACATCATGCCGAACAATATATGAAGACATAAGAACAATTTATTAGAAAAAAATTCAAACATAAAAAAGAAAACGCAAAACAACTACGAAGTGGTTTACTCTTTTCCGATTTTTTCACGAAAATTTTCAAAGAATTCTAAGAAAATGAGAAAGACTCTTAAAAAAAAACAGTGTTAATAAAATTTTAAAGAACATTTTTTATCATTTAACAAGAACATCAAGAAACATTCGGCCTTGAGAGGCCTTTGTTTATAGGGATATAAAATATGGTAACTTGACTAAAACAAGTTGTTTCTGTAGTGAACATCAGCGATCACGCGCATCAGCACATAGAAGTTATCATTTTACGAAAAATTCTAGAACTTTATATGTCAACAATTTGCTTTGCTGAATATCAGCACCTGTTAGCATTGGCAGCAACAATTTGTGAATTAGCAATGCGCTTTTCCTACGAGACGGAATACAATTTCTTATGGGATGCTAATCATGAAACATGGAAGCAGAAATCAGAATCCGATCTATCCTATCTTCAAGAACCTTGGACACCTTGAAGTAGCTGCACCAATATTTATGTGTCAGTGGACGATCAAATTTATGAAATGTATGCCTCAGAGAAAAATAGCAATAAGTATACACCACCCCCTTTTTGGCATGAAGAAGAGCCTTGTGCGATACCATATCTGGACGAAGTGACAGTATATTCCCACTACTTTGACAAAGTTTTGCGAGGTTATTATCATTGTTACTCCGAGCAAGAAGTAATCGAGGAGTACGATTTGCGACCTGCAGGTATAGTGAATAATTTGACAAAAATAAAAAGTTCATAATTTCATAAAAATCTTCTCTCAAATATATGATAGAATTAACTGTATTTCTCAGGCCAGTAACACCTAACAGCCCTGC